TGTGTGTGTGTGTGTGTGTGTGTGTGTGTGCGTGCAGGCGTGTGTGTATGTGTGTGTGTGAGAGTGTATGTGTGTGTATGTATGTATGTGTGTATGTCTCTGTGTATGTCTGTGAACGAGTATATGTGTGCGTATGTGTGTGTCTGTGCCCGTGTGTGTGTGTGTGCGTGTGTATTTGTCTGTATATGGATCTGTGTGTACTCCTGTGTGTATGTTTGTTTCTCTATGTATGTGTGTTTGTTTGTCTAACCCTGTCTTTTTTCACTTTTCTAAGTGTTTTACGCCCCCATAGGCACAATTTAGGGCTAACCCATGCTGAGAGGGATGCAACATCCCAACAGAAACACCGAGATATTCAATTTTTAAAAAATATATCCTCGCTTGAAAATTGAACTCGAGTCTCCTGTGTGCGATGGCGAGGAACCTCACCACTGCACCACATACGCTGGTCTAATCCTGTCCTGATCTGGTCAAAAGGGACCTGGAGACAAGACTGGTCAACAAGATTCGAGTCATCGCTTATTGAGTCAGATGGTCGCTTTTAAGCACAAGCGAGCTATCCCGAAAATTGCCGTTTCGAGAAAATCGATGGTAAACGTTTTTGCCCCCTTGTTCACTTTCTGTAAAAGATCAGGAGAGTTTTCTCTATAACCAAACAAATATACACACCAATGAAACCAAACTTCTCTTATTGGTAGGGCAATGCTCTATCTTGTTGTAGGGCAAGATTTCAGGAAACCCCCAAAATCTGGGTTAGCCCGCTGTCCTTAAAAGCGACCACATGTACTAAAATGAGTCCTACTTTATTGAGTCACTTTTACCGACATGAGTCATACCTTACTGAGTGAGTCACATGTACCAAGACGGTCGCTTTTAAGAACAAGCAGGCTAACCCAGATTTCGGGGGTTTCCAGAAATCTTGACCTTTACCAAAAAGTGGGCATTGTCCTACCTATAGGGGAAGTTTGGTTTCATTGTTGTGTATATTTGTTTGGTTACAGAGAAAACTCTCATTGTCTTTTAAAGAAACTAAACAAGGAGCAAAAAATTTGCCTTCGATTTTCTCAAAACAGCATTTTTCGGGATAGCCCCCTTGTGCTTATTAAAAGCGACCAACTTTATGAGCGAGTCGGCATGCACCATCAGACATTTGAGATCAGTGGATGAGAATCTCGTGAGAGTGCCCATCACAAAGTCTAACAAGTTGGGGGGAGGAAGAGCTTTTTAAAAATTATTTGTGGCACAAACATTAATGAATTATCACCCAAAAGAAAAGGATATCAGAAAATCAGAGAGAGAAATTTTAAGAAAAGTCTAAAGATGCTTTACACTACTACATATCATTTCCCTAGCAGACCTCAGAACACTCAGAAACATGCACGGCTTTCCGGGAAGCATACTGTGCAAGTAGCTGATAAGCGCCCAAACACTATCAAACTGACAAGATATTTCGCTGTCTATAACCGAGTACCCATTTCCACCTTGGTGAAGTGAGGAAAAATTATTGTAATGAGATTATCCCAAGAACACAACGACAGGCCTCTGATGGGATTCGAACCCACAACTTTACAGTAAGAGTCCGAGAACCTAAGAACTAAGCCACAGAGGTCTATACTAAGTAAACCAATGCTATATCTGATCGGCAGGCGATTGGGGGGTGACACTGGTTGGCCTAACTTTTCCTCTTTACGTTTTGAGTTAAATTTCTAAAAATTTTAATGATACAGGGGATTCTCGCATACACATGTGACACAATGTTGATTATTGAGAAGGTGGGCTTCCGACTCTGCTGAGAGGGATACAACGTCCCAACAGAAAACCAAGGTACTCGATAAGAACTCTCCCAACTCGGGAATCAAACTCGGGTCTCCTGCGTACGACAGCGAAGCGCCTACCCACTACCAATGATCGTACATAACAAGATGGTTCACTCCTCTCTTTATAAAAGTGTCCTCAAAATTCGGCGACGCCCTCTTCGTAAATGCACGGAGTTTACAAACAAGAGTTACCCTACTTGTTTGAAAAAAAATAAAAGTGAAACTAACAAGTTTTTGAATAAATTAGAATTCAAATTTCGGAAGAACGCTTTTATTTAATGGTTACGCAGACAAACAACTCTCCCGGTGGAAAAGGCGACTGTTTTCTATGTTTAATTTGACTTTAGAATGAGAGGCGAGAGGTCACGAAATCTTTTTTTAAAACCTAAAACTCCACACTGAACGAACCCGAACAGCTAATGAACAGCAGTCAATCTGCGCACGCAAGGGGGTGCTATTCCTATTCTTCCTCAGGAGAAACGAAAGAGAGCTTCAAAACAAAGACTGCAGCGCCATCTGAAGCAATGAGCGGACTTCCGCGGACACTTTTTTGGCTGAGTGAACTATCTTGTTATGTACGATTATCGCCACAACAGCACAGACGCCGCCAGTATGTTGTTTCTGTCTTTTCCCTTGCACTAAATGACGGCATTGCGTCGACGAACGAGAGCTTCAAAACAAAGACTGTAGCGCCATCTGAAGCAATGAGCGGACTTCCGCGGACACTTTTTCGGCTGAGTGAACCATCTTGTCAGGAAACGACAAGTGCAGTTTTTGGGACACCTGAATAGACATAAGGGTCTAGAACATCTAGCTCTCACTGGCAAAATTGAGGGCAAGCGAGGCAGGGGTAGGCCCACAACAACATACTAAGGGAATCTAAACAAATGGGTAACAGGGAAAGATCAGGAAAACGTAGCTTTTTTTTTTTAGAGCATCCGAGCAAAGGAATTAATGGAAAACCATGATCGCCGATGTCTGTCGCAGATCTGGCACTGGATGATGATGATGATGATGATGATGATGATGATGATGATGATGATGATGATGATGATGATGAACCATCTTGTTATGTACGATCATCGCCACTACAGCCCAGACGCCGCCAGTATGTTGTTTCTTCTGTCTTTTCCTTTGCACTAAATGACGTAATTGCGTCGATGTGCGTATTTCTCTTTACGCAAACACGATGGACAAAGCACATTCAATCGTGTGTGTTTTTTTTAGTGTTTTTCTTCTCCAGGACCTGTCAGGTCTGAACTGAAGCAGATAGTGACCATCACGGTACCCCGTTCCTTCCTGTTGTCTGTCTTCTTGATCAGCTCGGTTTTTCTCTTTGTGTTATTCGTTGCAAAGTTGTTCAGGCCATCTGTGTATGTTGTTCTTTCTCTACATCTTCTCTTCTTTCACTCTGTCTTTCCACACAGCAGCAGTTTTTCATCATCATCATCATCATCATCATCATCATCATCCAGTGCCAGATTTGCGACAGACATCGGCGATCATGGTTTTCCATT